TTTTTTCCATTAAGAAGGATCTTTTTGGTCTATTTTGTAACCCGTAAGTAATGAGCAGATGAAGCGAGCCTTTTGAAACAGAAAGGACGAAACAAACAAGCAAGCAATTAACGAGAGAATGGAGATCATATGTAAAAGTTCACAAATTAGCTTAGGAGCAAGGACGCTAAACATGAACAAATGTCCGGAAAGACTGATCATTCCAGCAAGTGAAGAAAACATAATCACAGAGCGAAGTTGGAGTGTGGCACTGAGGAGACGTATCCAATCGTCGGATTTAAAGCCGTCAGACATCTTTCTGTAAAGGAAGAAATTTTGTTTCCGTCAGTATCTGCGTTAAATTGTTGATGATTGTACTAACAAGTAGCCAAAAGTAAAAGCTATGGGGGCAGCGTAGAAGTTGGCGAAAATTTGAAATCCAACGAAAGCTTCATTATACGAGGAGAGTCCTTTATATCCTATAGCGATATCTATTGATGAGATATTGCTGGATTGACCCTAAAAAATAATTGATCGATCATATTTCTTACTTTTGGAATTTTTTACAATCAGTATACATACCTGGTAGAAAAATACAGTTTGACAAAGAAGAGCGTAGAGGTAAGCGGTGGGAAAGACTCGTTTTGTAATACAACCCATTTCGAAAGAGATCAACAGTAGAGGAATAGTTTCTGGTCGAACTAGATAGCAAAGGTATAGCATTGCTCCTAATGGGAATGATATCATCAGATTGATGGCAACTGCGAAAATTATGGTATACACTAGCCACCTGGAATATGAATATTTTTCTGATGAGCACACTGGCTTGTTCTGATCATGCAAAAATATAATTTTTGTTAGTAGGAATTTTATTTAATGCTTCTTGAAGATATAGACCAATAGATTTTAGTGGTTTGCATTCAAGGAAACAAGCTTTAAGTCTCTGAGATACGTTTCCAGAGCTGGTTGGGTCTTCTAAATAATGTGAATGGTAGGATCTGCTTTATTGTGATAGCGTATTAATTTTATTCATTCAAGGGGTTTTTAACACGACTCCACTTCAGTTGTTTGATTATCTTCAATGCATTCGTAGCCTATTTTGTTAGAATTTTTGTACACTAAACGAGGATATGCAATTTGAAAGCGTTTTTGTACTCCACAAAACTGTACCCATCTTTTTCAACGAGATTTGGCTCTTTTTGTTGAAAACTGGAATCCTAACTTCAACACCCTCTTCCACCCCTCCCCCCTCCCGCGTTTCAGGCTCGTTCGCTTCTAAGAGCTGAAATTGAAGTTCGAAATAATTGCTCGGTGTATGGAGAAGATGCCATGTTCCTTTATTTTGGTAAAATTTTGTATGCGTAGTTGCAAAACATATTGATCTCAACCACTGAACTATAAAATCTCAACCAGCCAAAACTGAAGCACTAAAAACTAATTGTTTTCATTTTCCAACCACAATATTGAAAGAGAATTATGGGAAACCAGTTTCAGAAAAGTCCGAGACTAAAAAAACTTGTAACCTAAATGTTGCATGTATCTTCACTATTTCGCCATACAATCGAAAACATATATAGAAACTTGTACAGATACTCGTTTAGATATTTGTCCCAATAAGAATGAGAGGATGAATGGATGACGACTGCGCAAAATTCCCTAATACCTGACAGACGCTGACACACACATCATTTATGTAGAAACTCATGGGAACTCAAAGTTGTCGTACCAGTGCTCGGCTTGTATTAATGCTCTCCAACATATAAGCACGGGAAGAATAT